GGGGCCGCCCCGCCCCCGCCGGGCACCGGGGCGGGGTCCCGGGTGCGCCCGCAGGTGCCCGCGCGCCCGCAGGTAGGTGCCGCCGAGGCCGCCGCTGTCCTCGCGGTGCCAGGTGCCCTCCCGCTACTGTGCGCGCCGGGGCCTGGGGTCCTTCTCGAGGGCCCCTCGCGATGCGGCCTGGCTTTGGGGTCAGCGCCACTAACCCGTCCTCCTTCCCTGGGCGGCGACCACCGCCAACCGCATTCGTGTACCGGGGCCTGTGGTCTTCTCCCCGGTCCCGGGCGCCGGGCCTCGAGGTCAGCCCGCTCCACGAGCCCCCCAGGGCTGCACGCAGTGGTCGGGTGCCTCTTCTGCCCGTGCACCCCCGCTGGTGGTGGCCACCGTATGGTGCCTGGTCCCACGAGGCCGGCAGCCCGCAGGCCCCTCCATAGCCCCTGGTCGAAGCCCTTCCTCCAGCTGCCCTCTGGGTCCATGGACCCCTCCTGGGACTCTCGGGACCCCACTCTGCCCCCACTCGCCTAGCTCCTCAGCCACAGCTGTCCTCAGTCTGCGAGTTCTCTCCCCACCTGCTCTGGGCTGGCGTGGGTCAGAGGGCCCAGCACAGCCCAACCCCACAGGCTGCGCCCAGCCCTCGGGTCTCAGAATGGCCCAGTGCGCTACAGGCCCTTGTGTCCCCACTGTGGGCCCCAGCTCTGCAGGCAGGCCACTCCCAGGAGGCCCTGGGCACTGGTGGGCTGACATCTCCTTCCACCTTCTGGGGCAGCCACAGGCCTGGGCTTTGGCTGCAGAGGTGGCCAGGCCTCGCCTCGGTGACTGCCCGGGCTCACCCGGGGCCCATGCACTGCGAGCACCTCCCTGCCTGCCGGAGGGCTCGGTCTCCACAGGGTGGCCCGGTGACCCCCGGGGGAGGGCAGAGGAGCCCCAGAGACCAGAGACCCGGTGAGAACGAGGGACTAGAGGAGGGGTCAGGGATTCCAGTCTCGGAGGGTGGACAGTGGTACATGCCCAGAATCCTGGGGGGCGCTGGAGGAGGGCTGCAAGTGCACACATCTCTTTCTGTCCCTCTGGCCACGCCCTGTTGGTCACAGAAGTTGACAGTGTCTCTCGGTGAGCTGGCTGTGGTCCAGCAGCCCAGCTCACTACCCTGTGCAGCTGGACTGCCGGGAGGGGTGCCGTCCAGGCCTGGAGACCTCCCTGAGTGTGCCAGGCACGTGTACCCACCATCGGGGCAGGCCACGGCGTCTCGCCCTCTTTGGGGCCCTATCTCTCTGTCTCTTTCATTGGTGACATGAATAAATATACTTGAAATCAGAAGGCCTTTTCTTTTTCCCTTATGATTGACGGAAGGTTCGTGGCTAGGCACAGAGGGGGAGCAGGAGAAAGCACCCCCGGGTGTGGACACGCCAGCACCCTGCTCTGTCTCTACCCTGTCCGGGTTTGGGGCACGCAACTGCACCCAGGCCAGGACTTGAACCGTGGCGGGCTATGTGCAGTCCAGCTCCCTTAGCCGCTAGGCCATGGGTCAGCCAGGACTTGGCTGTGTGCCTGTGGGCCCCATGGGGCTGAGAGCGGCCTGCACGGCACTGGGAGGGGCCTGGGGAACAGGTGGAGGGAGGTGTGGGCCGTGTGGACCCCAGGACGGTCGGGATTGGTGGGCCTGGGACAGGGAGCGCACCTGCGTGGCACTAGCGCCCTGGTAAGAGGCCCCGGGCGCCCACCACGTGAGGACCACCGAGAGGGAGCCCTCTAGCGGCCAGGAAGGCGCCTGGACCGGCGCCTTGACCTGGGGCTTCGCAGCCCTAGAAGGACGGGCAGAGTGAGGGCGCGACCCCGCGGCTGGCAGTCCCAAGGCTGCTGAGCTGACCTCCCTGGCCGGGCTCTCAGCAGGCTTTGCTGGGAGCCAGTTTCCTGGGTGGGGGCCATTCTGGGCCCTGCAGGGGGTCAGCAGTTGCCAAGCAAGTGGCCACGAGTGTGAGACACAGGGTTTAACCCTCTCGCATCCGGAGCCTGGAGGCACGGGCCCCAGGGGAGGGAGGTCCCACAGGCCTCTCCTGGCTCTGGGGGTCCCAGCCTCACCCCAGCCTGTCTCTTCCTGGTGTCCACGTGTCCCTCGCCTCCTGAGGACACCAGCGGCGGGGTGGACCCAGTCCCATGAGCACGACCCCGCTTGCCGGCGGGAGCCCGGGACCCAGTGTCCCACCAAGATCCTGCTGACCCTGGGGTCGAGGTCGGCTCTCAGCCCTGGAGCACGCTGGGAGATTCATGGGGAAGCACCGAGGGTGTAATCAGCTGCCTGCCCCTTGTGGTGGGCACGGTGGCGGGGGGTGGGGGGACCCGGGGGCCTGGCCTTGCCTGTACTGGATTCCAGAGGGCGCGTGCCTCCCGTAGGGTGCGGTCATGCCAGTCCCTTCTCCATCTTGAGAGCTGGGGACACCCAGACGTCCAGTGCTTTCCTTCCACCAGGGCTGGGGTTTGAACCGGTTCTGCCGTGGGCACCCAGCTCCCTTCACCCCCACTCCTTTCGTGTATTTCTAAGCTCTAAAAGGGGCAATTTTTTTCCAAGAATTATTTTTATTTGACTTATTTGTCAGGAGAGACAGTGAGAGAAAAGCAAGCCGCCAGGTCAGAGACCCGAACCATGGCCGGCCGTGCGGGAGTCCAGTGCCCTTAATCACCGCGCCACCTGCTGCCCCAGGGGCGATTCTTTTTAAACAAGTACTTACTTGTGATTTTTCAGGCTGCTGAGGCTGGGACTTGAACTGCAGTTGGCCATGTGGGAGCCTAGGGCCTCCACATCACCTGCCGGGCCCCAGGGGGCAGCTACTAACAGGAGGAAAAGCAGACAGTGCCAGGGGCCGTCAGGTCAGTGGGGCTGCCGGAGCCTGAGGGCTTGGTGGGCTGGGGGGCTGGCAGGAGGCCTGCCCGGCTGTCCCGCTCGAGGAGACCAGAGACCGGCCTGAGGGTTGGGGACCCACAGCCCTGACAGGCGGGAGCAGCCCGGTGACCATTAGCAAGTGAGGATGGCCGTGCCCATCCACACCGCACTGGGACACTGTGCTCCGAGTGACGCAGGCGCCCCTGCAGGGTGGGTCCCACTGTGTGGCATGCCCAGGGCAGGCGGGTCCACAGATGAATGACTGCCGGGAAGGGGAAGTGGCTGAGACTTCTGGGGGGCAGCAGGTGGTGTGGGTGTGAAGGTGCTGGCCCCCTGCTGCGACTCTGCTGTCCACGCCCTAGGCCGGAGGTTTGGAAACCCGGGATGTGTGTGCGTGCGGACCCAACCTCAGTGCAGAATGCAGACCTGACTGCATGGCCACCCCAATGGGGGTTCCCACTCTCCGCCTGCACACACATGCCCTGTAAGAGCTGGCTGTGGCCCCACGCAGATCCGGACCCCCACCCAGGGCACCCGACAGCCTCCCCCTCCAGCAACTTCTGCTTGGACTCAGCCTGAAAAAGGGTCACTGTCCCGGGAGGGTGAAGGGACACTGCGGTCCCTGCAGCCTCATCAGAAGCCAGGGCCAGGGAACAAGCCGCCCACCCAAGGGGGCTTCCACCTCGTCAGGGTACGCCCAGAGACGGCAGGCCGGACTGTCCCTGGGCGCACGCTTCTGCACGGCTCCTATGACGCAGAGCAGCCCGGCATGAGCACCCGTCCGTCCAGGCAGATGCCCTGCGCCGTGGCCCGACCCACAGCTCCTGGCACCAGTCACCCAGTACCGTCTGGCCCCGGCAGGCAGTGTAAACAGGGAGACCCAGGCGCGGGGCAGGCAGAAGCGCGTGCGGCACAAACCCTGCAACTCCCAGTGGGCAGGGGTGAGTGGCGCAGGCCCACGGCGCAGAGGCTGGGGTCCAGCTTTGTGAATGGCATGGACAGCAAAGCAGCCACACAGCCAGCCTCATCTGGGTCACGGGTTTATTGAAGGACGCGACCTCCTGGGCCGGCCCACACGTTTAGTCCGTCCGGCCGGGCGGCGGCACCAGGGAAGGGCCGTCCTGCACCCCTCCCGAGGGCCACCTTCCTCCTGCACGGCGGCTCTCTGGGGCAGGCCGTTTCAAGTACATCTCCAGCCTCCTGGCTGGGCTCCGCGGTGCTGCGACCGGCCCGTGCCTGCTGGCAGCTCTCCTGGTTCAGGGAACTTGGGGCAAGCCCACAGGGACAAGCTGGCCTTGCGGTCGGGGGCATCTCCGGGCCCGTGTCCACATGTGGAAGACTGGGCAGGGGCTCCGGCCAGGAAGAGCACAGGTGACCGGCACGTCCAGACCCGGGGCCTGCAGAGGGCAGCGTGGGGGGTCTGTAGGGCCGGCCCCGGCCGGCTGCCCCAGGTCCCAGGCAGGAGGACCGCCCCTCCCCGCTGAGCTGCCCGCCTCGGGCAGGTGGCCTGAATGCAGGCGGCCTCAGTGAGGTGGGAGTGGACACCTGGGCCGTGCAGGGGCACGGGGCTGCCCCCATGGCACTGGCTAGACGCGCTCCAGCTCCGGGTCCTGCTCGGGCTCGTCGTCCTCGTCCTCGTCCTCCTCGTCCTCAGCACAGGCCTTGGCCAGCGGTGCGTCGCCGTCCCGGGCCAGCTCCTCCACGTGCGCCAACATGTCAGCCATCAGCGCCTCCTCCAACCGCTTCCGCACCTGCTGTACCAGCTCCTCCTGCTTCCTGGGGACACAGAGCGGCTGGGGGGGCC